TGAAGCAGGGACAGGATAGTAGGATATGTGACTGAAAGAGGAACATTGAATGTGGAGCATAGAGGTGGATTGGAGTGTGACATACATGAGGCAGGTGTGACCTTTTCATAAATGGGCAAGATCAGTTTCCCAGGATCTGTTCTGGTGGTATGGAGCTGACCAATGAAAGATGAAAAGTTTTATGGCTTGCAGTTTACCTGACCCAAAAATTGCGATAGTTATTGAGGAGAATTTTGAAGTGGGAGTAGTTGGTGGCAGGTATATGTGTAAAATGGGGTCAGTGGGTTGTGGACAAGGGGATGGATCATGTGAAGGCATCTGCTTGTTCATTGCCAGGGATCCCGACATGGCTGGGCATCCAGCAAAAATTATTTCTGTCATGTAGACATACAACAACCTGTCTTATATCTTACAGAGTATAGAGTTGATAGGGTATATGGATTGTAACTGTGATACTTCGTTGTGCAAGTTGGTAAAGATGGTGAAGGATGAGGAAGAGATGAAAGACATGCACTGTAAACTGAAAAGGATAGCATCTAGTTCTTTTGTAATGATGCTTGATTCAGGAAGTGGAAAGTTGTATGTGTGAGAAGGAAAGACTGCAGTGAAGCCAGTACCCGAGATGTGGAGTGATTAGATATATGCGAGTAGGACAGAAGGTGGGATGTTTGATTTAGGTGGATCAAGGAAAATAGAAGAGCATTTACAGAAGGAAGGTATTAGCCAGGGAAGGAAAGATTGGGAAAGAGGAGGAAGGGATCGAAGATGAGGAATGGGTGAATGGGAATGGGGTTGGTAAATGTGGAGAAAGTGTGAAGAAAGGATTTAGGAATGTTAGTTTGGAGAGAGGAAAGTGGTTAAAGTGACCAGAGCTTCTTATAGATAAAAGGCAAAATGTCGAATCTGACAGGGGAAAGTAGGTGGTAGAAGTGGGGAAGGAAGACGTAGAAGGGATAGGTATAGGGGAGGGTGTGGGCATATCTTGGGAGGGAGGGGGAGGGGCATCTTGAGGAGCCTTGTTGCTTGCTTCCTGTCTGGTTTTACATAGAGTGAGTCCAAGTCCAAATCTGAGTGAGGATAGAGACAGTCCAGCCATCAGGGTCCCCTTGAGGGGTAAGGGCTAGACAACTAAAAAAGGGGAAAACCATGGCCATAGCTCCCTCAAGCCTTTCAAGAGTGGCACAAAGTCAGCCTTTCATCCTTTCAGCTCAAACCTTAGGAAATGGATAGTAGAAGGGGACAGAAACAAAAAAAAGGAGTCTCAGGGCAGGGGAGTCCCCAGCATTGCCTCCTAAGCTCCATGACAACAATGGGCAAGGGATTGGGGTGGGGGGGATAGATTAGAAAGGGTGAAGAAGAGAAAGATACATCCGGGGTAGATGATTAAGGATGGGTCAAGGAGGGGGGTGTAGTAGTGGTCAGAGCTGCAATCAAGGAAGTGTGGGATCGGTAAACCAGAGTAATGGTTAATGGTTAAAAGCAAAATAAATGTGTTAGACATCTAAGGTAATGTAGCACTATAGTAAATGTTAGTAAAGGGTGGTTAAGTTAGTGATTAGTTGTCAAAGCTGGGCAAAGGAATTGGTGAGTGAATGGGTTAAGGTCAGATGAGGTAATGTAAAGGGGTTAGATTAAGTGAGGGATATTTATGCGTTTGAGAGGAAAACTGGTTGTCGAAGCAGAATAGGTTGTGAGGTCGGTGAAGGGAGGAGCAGAGCTACAGGCTGCTTCAAAACGTGTGCATGATAATAGAATGTGTGGGACTGAAAGAGGAACATTACATAAGGAGCATAGAGATGGATCGGATTGTGACATCAGATAGGGGTGTGTTAGACGGGTGTGGAAGGGGATGCTTGTGATGGTTAATGGTTAATGGTTAAAAGCAAGATAAATGTGCTAGACATCTAAGGTCATGTAGCACTATAGTTAATGTTAGTGAAGGGTGGTTGAGTTAGTGATTAGTTGTCTAAGCTGGGCAAAGGAATTAGTGAGTGAAAGGGTTAAGGTCAGGTGTTATATTAGATAAAGGGTATGCATAAGAAAGGTTTCTTGAAGGCATACAATAGATGGGTTATAAGAGGAAAGGATATGATGGTCAGGTCTGTGGGAGCGGAAACCGCGAATATTCCAATGAAGGATAGTTATACTTTCGTTGATTTAGTGATATAGATTGTAGTACGTGTTGGAGAATTTGAAGGGGAAGCAGCTAGAGGGTGGGATAAGGACTGAGAGGTTTGAGATGGGAGAGGTGTGGGAGTTGGTGTTCTATCAGGAGGGGTAGTAGGAGATGGAGGGTCTGAGGAAGGGGATACTTGTGACATAAGGGATTCACGTGTGTATCCAGGAGGGAGTGGAAGGGATAGAGGGGATGGTGGGAGAGTTAATGTGGGCAGGGTCAGGGGGGATGGGCTGTGTTGGGAGGGGGTAGGAGGGTAGGGTGTAGGGGGGATATCGTTAGGAGGAGGATGGATATCAGCAATTACTTGGAGTGTGGAAGGAGCAGGAGTTGTAGGTTGAGTGTCAGTTTGCATTAAGTAATCTTGAATATTTTCAATAGTTTCTTCTGTGGAGTTGGTTGGGGAGTTTTGGGGGATAAAGGATTTCTTGTGAGGGGGGGAAGAGAGGACTGGTGTCTCAAGAGTACGGGCAAAGGATGGTGGGGGTGATTGTGTGGTAGGGGAAGAGGGGGTGGAACGTTTGTTCTGTCTGTTACGGGGAGTGCGAGGAGGGAGAGGGGAAGGTGTTGGGGTTGTAGTGGTGATTGGAGTATCTGTAGTAGAGATTGGAGTTTCTGGATTTAGGATGGCAAAAGAGTTTGACTGGGGAAGGTAGGAGGTAGAAGTGGGGGAGTTAGATGTAGGAGGGGTGGGTTTAGGAGAAGTGTTAGAATGAGCAGTATTACTGGAGTAAGGAGTAAGAGAGAATCCACGTCGACGTGCTTCCTGTCTGGCTTCACGCAGTGTGAGTCCAAGTTTGAATCTGAGAGTTGCTACCTCAGATTCAAATTTGTAGGTGGGACAGCCCCTATAAAATACATTATGGGGGCCGCCACAGTTGGCACATGTGCGTGATTGTGCAGAGCAGTTAGATCGGGTATGGCCAGGTTGGGCACATAATGGGCATCTGGCTGTGGAACGGCAGTGTTTGGCTGGGTGTCCTAGACGCCAACAATTTTGGCACTGACGTGGAGGAGGTTGGTATGGACGAACAGGGAGGGATTCTCCTCCTATGTAGACGTTAAAGGGAAGGTCATGTCTACGGAAGGTAATTTTGGCTATGTTAGTGGGTTTCTTTCGATGACCTCTGGGGGGGATGGAGTAGCATTGTACTGATGTTGCATCGTAGTCTGTGAGACAGGCAAGTAGATCTTCTCCACAATCTGACCAATCTTTGTCATAGATTGGGCAATTTGCTGGTGAGATTGAGACTGTTCCGGTGCAAGTATTGAGGGTTGGATGGGGTTCTGCTAGGATGGGGTTACCATATTGGTCAGTTAGTTTTGTTAGTGCTATGGCTTGGTTTTCGGATGTTACTGTTACAAGACGGGAGCGGTCGGGTCGGCTACGGAAAGAGACTTTACCTACTTGTTTTTGGAGGCATTGTTGGAAGAGAAGGGTGTTGTCAGAGTAGGGAGCTGTGGGAGGGATCACGAAAAATCGGTCCCATTTGGCTGCACTGAAGAGAGTATTCAAGATTGTTTTAGAGATAGGGGTGGTAGAAGGGCGAGGGCGTGACGAAGATGGAGTTGTGTTGATGGAGGTAGTGTTATGGAGAGGTGGGCTATAAGGCTGTAAGGTATTAATAAGGGAGGATGGGGTGGTTGATGTTGGAGGTTGTGGGGGTAGAGGTGTTGAAGTTGGGCATGCTGGGAGAGTGGAAATGTTCCTTGAGGGTTGATTGTTGGCTACTGTACTAGTAGGCATTGGTGAAGGGGTAGTTATTGCAGTGTTCGGAGCCGTGGTCAAAGGAGAGCCTGGGGTCGGGGAATCGGGTGGGTTTACTTCGTTGGGGCTATTTGATAAAGGGGCAAGCCTCATTGCCCCTAACAGTGGGGATATATTTTCATTACTGGCCATGGGAAGCCTGGATTATGTTGGGGATAAAAACAGTCCACCCCTCAGGGTCCCCTTGAGGGGTAAGGGCTAGATAACTAAATCAGGGGAATACCGTGCCCATGGCTCCCTCAGGCCGTTCAGGACTGGCACAAAGTCAGCCTTTCATCCTTTCAGCACGGCTCTCACACCTTAGGAGGTGGATAGCAGAAGGGTTTGGTGAAGGGACAGAAACAAAAGTGGGAAGGGAAAAAAAGACCATGCATAATTAGTTGAGTCGAGGGCTGAGTCCCAAGGTTGGGGAGTTCCCCATCATTGGGTCCCAGTCTCCGCCTCCTAAGCCCCCCCCACGACAACAACGGGCAAGGGATTGGGGGGGAAGTGGGAAGGGAAAAAAAAGACCATGCATAATTAGTTGAGTCGAGGGCTGAGTCCCAAGGTTGGGGAGTTCCCCATCATTGGGTTCCAGTCTCCGCCTCCTAAGCCCCCCCACGACAACAACGGGCAAGGGATTGGGGGGGGTGAATTGCTGGGGCTAATTGATGAAGGGGCAAGAGTCATTGCCCCTAATAGTGGAATTACGTTTTCATTATTGGTCATGGTAAGCATGGAGTATGTTGGGGCGAAAAACAATCCATCCCTCAGGGTCCCCTTGAGGGGTAAGGGTTAGGCCTAAGCAGGGGAATACTGTGCCCATGGCTCCCTCAGGCTGTTCAGGACTGGCACAAAGTCGGCCTTTCAATCTTTCACCATGGCTCTCACACCTATGACTATGCAAAATTAGTTGTTGCAAAGGCTGGGGTCCCAGGTTGGGGCAATAACCCACATCGGGGCCTCTCCTAAGCCCTTCACAACAATAATGAGCAAAGGATTAGAGATTTAACTGACAAAGTGCTGTATATGCAGAAGCCATAGTTCAAATATACCTTTGGGATGACTGAAATCAACTTTCTTTAAAACAAAGTATATTATAATGTATATTCTGCAATGCCATTCAGAATAGATCATACAAACATGATTTCCAACATGTGTACATATTATAATTAAATCTAATCACAGTACATATTAAATGTATAAATTGATAATTCTAAATCTAAGGATCTTGAGCTAATAACATTATCTGCTATTTTAATGTTATTACAATTTGACACAGTCAAATTAATTTTTTTTTAATATCAGTAATATAGTAATGATGTTTTTGCTATATATCTGCATTATGACCACATTAGACTACTGTGAACTTGTTCCTAGTTCCTCATTTTTTTGGACAAAATGTTCTTTACTAAGAAACATACTTCCTACAAAGGATTTGTATTTCAGTAATAAGTATTATGGAAAAGAAAAATATTACACATCCTAAATCAATCATAAAATCTATGAAAATATACACCTTAAATAACAGGAAATTTGTTCTGAAAGCCTGCATAAAAATATGGGCAACATGAAAAGACATCTGGTGACAGTACTATATGAAATACATGAATATTAGCATTTAACAAAAAAGTACAACTGTAATTATGTTATAAATGTTCTGTTGCAAAGGGAAATACACTGGCAGTATTAATAATGGCAGTGTGTGTAAACATGCTCCTTAATTCATATGGAATTCCAAATTGTGCTGAAAAATTAAGGATTAAAAATTAAGTATACACTAGATAACAACTCTTTGGTACATGCAGTACTCAGTCACAATAATTGTTAACAGAAATTTGACATCCACTCTGCAAAAATAATTCATCACTCATTCATAAACAAAGCCTATTAGAAGTGTAATATTACAAAAAGGCAAAAATCACATCCTTCTGGTATCATTCCTCTCACTAAGGAATGAAACTAGTTCAACTTTACAGCCTTAGTATTCATACTTTAATCCATACATAACTCTGTAATTATAAAATTCTCATTTTCTCTGTTTAATAATTGCTTGTAACTTTTCTTCAACACTGCTCAACTGCTCATTCTTGTTGATCTTTAAGAACCTGCCACTGCGAACGTTGTGAACAGTGCACCAACCAGGTATTTCCTTGATGAGCAGCTCAAGATGACTGTCCACCTCATCTGAAAATTATTTATAGATATTGTGCATTTTTAGTCATGTGGTATAAATCTAAATTTTTACATCAAGTACTTGAGATAAAAATAGGTATAATGGGTTTCTTCTTCATACACTATTAACATTTTCAATAAGAATATATTTCAATTCATTACAGAACAAACCAGTCTACTTACTTCCTCCTAACATAGAAGTATAACTGGCAGCAACTTTAGCTGCTACAACTTCCCAAGGTAAAGCAGCTTTCTTCTCGGTTACAAAAGTATTACGAATGATTCTGGAAATTTCAGGTAGGCGAGACAACATTTCAAGTTCTTTATTTTCACCACAGCTTCTGGTCATTTCCCGAGCAGCTTTTTGAGCTTCCCTTGCACGAATCTACAAAGGAAATATCAATAAGTTGGGTGTGAAAGTTTAAAGTGCTACACCTTTTATAATTCATTCATTATATACACTATTCAATGGCTATGGCATAAAATATACCTACATTACTGATAGCACCTTACCTTCTCTAAGAGTGAACTTGATACACCCTTTAAAGCTAAACATGTACTGACTGGTGCTGCAGATAGTGAAGGTGCAGTCTTTGCAATTGGTGCTGGAGTTTTCTCAGCAGCCTCTGTTACTGCTTTCTCTAGTCTGTGGTTAAGTGAGAAGAGATCTTGTGCCTTATCTGTAAAAATAAAGAGAAAGCATTCAATTGAACCATTTCAATTGCATGCAACTGTTGGGGAAATTTAACAAATTTATCAATTGCCTTGTCAATTCATTCTCAGATACACCTTTTCTACTTTTAACATTACTTCCAAAACTCTGGAGCACATCAAATCCTACAATAGCACCAACAAAGAAAAATTACAAGATTCCATTTATCACAAAATTGTGGAAAAAATTACCAAGGACATCTCTGGCTGTTTCCAACTTCTCCATGGTGGGTGGCTGTGGCATTGAGGTTTCCTCAATATCAGGTAGGTCCTCCAGGGCAAACTCTGGATGCCATCGTTTAATGGCACCAACACTTGAGATAGGAGGCTCCAAAGTCTTCAGAAAACAAGATTATTCAAATTTTGTATACAGTATTTTGAATTATAGTAAATGTTGATAAAAATCCAATGAAATATGTAAATACTAAATCATATTTCCCAATTGCCTTCGGCACAACTTACCCTGAGGAATTCTGCATGATGCTCCCTAACGAAGTCAATTAGAGAGTTGTGGAATATATTACGTCTTTCAACCAATACTACAGAGTCCATCTTCCTGAACTGGAAAAGGATTTTGGAATTAGCTTTATAAATAAAACCTTTACTAAAATGTTTCAATCCCTTACTCCCTTAATTTCATGAATATAAAAAATTAACAAGTATATTCATTAATAAACTTGCAAATTAATCTGATACATACTTTTGGGAAATTCTCAGCAGGGGCAGAATTAAACTTGCTCATTAGATTCTGTGATGCAGACACACCCTTGTAATCCATGTTCGATGTAACTGTCAACTCATAAGGCCCCTTTGATACATCATTTGATGCTGCAAAATAAATATTTGACATTAGTTTTCTGTAACAACAAATTTCTATATTTTAGACAGACAGACACACTGACACAGGGTGGGGGGTCAAGATGCAAATTATAAAGTGAGACTAACAAAACTACACTAATGAAAAACAGAAGATACTTTTGCAGTTTTACAAAATACATTTCTGTATGTACAATAAAGAATATACAGTTTTACAGAGTAGAGGGTCTTATCTTACCAACATTCTTTGCTTTGTTCCTACGTTCCTGTTTGAAGATGTATGCCAAAGGGAAAACTGTTTTTATTTGTCCAAGATGACGCTCTTCAAATGCTCTGTTTAAGAAAAAAAAAAAGACATATGATAGTATACCAACTTATCACAGTGTGTGTAATATTTCATTCACATTCAGCATTTGAGTGTTCTACAAGATTACATGCACACTATACAAAATTTCTTACCTTCTCATCATTTCTTGAACAGCTGGCTTTAACTTGCTATATGTGATAACTTCATGCCTGTTGTGAAGCAAAGACACAACAGTGTCCACTGCTCTAAACATGTCCTTCAAGAAACGGTATTTGTATGGTAATACCAACTCCTCCGAGGGTTTCTCCACCAAATGCTGGAATCGCTCATGTGCTGGTGCCTTCAATGGGGTTTTTGAAGGCGTTTTTACTGGTGTCTTTCTTGGGCTATTTTTAAAAAAATAAACAAATTACATAGAGATACATGTATATCTAAAAGCTAGTTAATTCCATACCAAGAAAAAGTAAAAAGAAAACCTAAATCATTAATTTTTTCACCCTGGTACTAGAATTTCTTTGTGAGAATCCCTTCATATTTTTCAATTGCAAATGATATAAATGAAAGTTTTGGCTTTGTTCATGAAGTGACAGCATCCCCTGCAACCGAGTCCCTATTAGTCCTGCCACTCATGAGAAATCCACAAACATTATTGTATGAACCAAAACCCTTTTTAACCCAAGGGCTTTGTCTCCAGACTGAAATCCATTCACTGTATTTTCCTTTCGAGACTGCCCCTAGACTGTGGACTTGCTTTCTGCACAATATTCATCACAACCTATTTTCTTCATTTCTGATAAAAAGTATATTTCTATCATTCTATCCATTATCTACAAGTTTACCTTATACCACATGGCCGTGTGAAACAAACTATACCAAAATACTATAGCTAACTAGCAAATCACCCACTTTATAAGCATTTATAAGAGTCAACACCCACATTTATCAAATATGTACCAAAAAATTCATAACTTTTCATTGTATTATGTAATATATGGATATCAAATTACAGATTAACTCATTCTATATGGTGACAAGAGTTTTGGCATTATAAAGTGCAGTGGAATATACTGTGATGCCAATGTTGGTGTCATAATTCCATTTTAGTTGCTGCTGAGTGTTCCCATATTCTGTTTTGACTTTGTATGTGTGTGTGTGAGAGGAAGAAACTATTTTAGATAAGAGACTAACACATTCAAAGTTACCACTTGCAGGTGAGTGCCCAGTACATGAGTAATACAGGTCTTTTAAACAATCCAGAGCAAACCAGTTAACCACCAATATTCTTACCTTACAGGGACTTCAACTTCAATAGAAGAAAATTTGGCAAGCTGGGGATGTTCCTT